TACAGCTGGCTCTGCCTGTGGATAGGCAGAGCCAGCTGTCACTCACGCAGCTGGGTGGATCTCAACAGTAATGTCGGGATCCGTCCCGGCTGCGGCGTCCCAGTATACCGCAAGCTGTAGCTCACACTATACTGAGCTTAGGGTGACGGGAGGACGCTAGTTTGTGTCCTTCTGTGACCCTGAGGAGAACTATGGGGAAAAACACTGACCCCATAGTTCTCCTTTAAAAGAGACGTGTGACATTTTTTCTTAAATAATACAGACTCATGATTTTCGGGCAGTTTCTTTATAATTATGAAGAACTGTAACTCAGTCCATGATTATTCAGCGAAGGAGAATGGCAACTGGCAATAGAGGACTACAGATCCCATCAATCCATGATTATACAGCAATGGAGAATAGACATGTGCGTTCGGATTTGGACGAACCTGCAAATCAACGGAAAATCAGTTGATTCAGCGGCTCATCCGAATCCGAAATAACGAATTTAACATATGCCCGCATATACTAAAACAATATTCGGGCATACATAAATGGTATGTGTTCTGCGCATGCCCGCCGCCATCTTGGAGGCGGAGTGTGTCAATGACATCACACTCTGAACGAGCGGCAACCAGATCGGCCAAGATGACGGCGCTCGAACATATACATGTCTAGTGGAGAATGGCAACCGGCTATAGAGGACTACAAATCATAGCAATCCATGGTAATTAAGCAATGGAGAATGGCAACCAATTATCACGGATTGCTGAGATTTGTAGTCCTCCATAGCCGGCTGACATTCTCCATTGCTGAATAATCACAAGGCTGCGTTCAGGTCTCACCAGGGCTGCGTGCAGGTCTTACCAGGGATGCTTTCGGGTGTCACCAGGGCTATTAGTATCGGTATCGGGGTATCACTATTTATTATACAGGATTTATAGAGCATAGCACCAACAGTTTGTGCAGACAGTACAGTTACAATACAATACAATTCAATACAGGGGGGTTAGGAGGGCCCTGCTCGTGAGAGCTTACAATCTAGTAGGAGGGGCAAGCATTACAAAAGGCATTGTGAGGGATGAGCTGATGCAAGAAGTAAAGGGACAGTTATTATGTGGAGATGGGATAGGCTTCCCTGGAGAGATGACTTTTCAAGGTGGATAGAGTAGGTGAGAGGTGGGCAGACTGGGGTAGGGCATTGCATAGATGGGAGAGGCTCTGGAGAAGTCCTTGTGGTGAGCATGGGAGGAGGTGAGAAGAGCTGGAGAGCAGAAGGTCTTGAGAGGAGCAGAGAGGTCAGTTTGGGTGATACTTTGAAATGAGGTTAGTGATGTAGCCAGCGGCAGAATTGTAGATGGCGATGTTATTTTTTAAAATGTATATTCCTTAGCCGTATTAATCCCCAGCTCTATCATTGATTTGGATTACATTTGCATCTACTGCATGAGCATCAAATGCTCTCATAGGTGAACGCAATGTCATTCAATAATTAGATTGCAAACCTGTAAAAACTCCACTTCTAATTCCACTTGTAAAAAAAAAAAAATGTAATTAACATATAAAAAAAAGTTAAAACATTTTTTAAAGTCTCACTTCCCACCTTAACATACGTGCAAAAATTGTGCCACACGTTACATATTGCCGCGAACGTCAGAGTGAGAGCAATAACTCTGAGGCCATCAATCACTGGTAACACTAAACTGATGATCAGTAAAAGCTTTTAAAGCATCACCTATGGGAAATTTGGGGTATTGTAGTTTTTTTGTGGTTTCACGGATGCATACAATTTTAAGGCTTGACATGTTTGGTATCAATTTACTCGACCTGACACCGTCTTTTATATTTTACTAAAAAAATGGGTACTTTATTCTATTTCTGTGCACTAAATTTCATTTTAGGGTATTTTATCCTAAAAATACTGGTTTGATAAACATTTGTGCAAATACCGTGTGACAAAAAATTGCAAATAGCATTTTTTTTTATTCTACAAGGCCTCTGCTTCCAGAAAATATATCATTGTTTGGGGGTATGAAGCTGTTTTATAGCCAAAAATTCAGATTTTATCATGTGTGTGCAAATAGGTCACATCTTGAGGAAGGGACCCTGCGCGGTCCCGAAACGTCGGTTTATTTGGATGTCTGTGACGCTTTCTGTCCAATAAAAGGGACATATTTATCTTTACTACTGAGTGCTGGTGATTTCCTGACTTTCCTGTGTTTGCACGGCGCCATCCGTGGTATCTCATCACTGCGAGCACAACTTTTTTCATATCTGGCCGGGACTGCTGTGAGGAGTGCGCAGGGTCTCTCCATCTACAAATAGTAAGACAATGCTCTGGGCGGCAAGTGGTGGCTAACTGAACAAACTAAAAAGAGAAGCTGATTGGTTGCTTTCTTTTTATGGATT